GAGAAAAAATAGAGTTGACCTTGTCAACTCTGTGATACCCGTACGAATTAGTTATCCCATGTGCGAATAAATATGCTATAACTGACTATTGGATAGACTATGACTTTAAGTTGCCGTATTACCAATTATTTTATGCAAAATTTCAGTGTTATGTGTTTTTCAAAATACTGTGTGTGCCAAACTACTATTGAAGTTGCATGGCAGCTACCAGAAAGAGCCAAGAAATTTTAATGAATTTTATCAAGCACATCGGCCCTACTAATATATTCGCTTAAGTACAATATCAATATTACAGCTTTGGTAATTCCTGAGATATAGCCAAATAACTTTTGAAGTTGTATGGCAGGTACCAGAAGGAGCCCTATCGACACTTTAGATAGTTTTAATAATTTAGCAATTTCAGATATCACAATTTTCATTTTATTTTCGAAAAAAAAATGAGTTTAAAGAATTTAAATGATAGAAAATCGAAAATGATATGTTGTTTTTGCTGAAGCTAAATTTAAGCTTTTAGACCTGAGAATTTTATTTGCAACTGTGTCACAGTTTTTTAATATCGTAACATTCATATTCTTTACAAAGTATTTATTCATCTCATATTCAATAACCATTCTAATAACTATTTAATATTAAGTTTCTGATAATCATTGAATATACATATAAATTTTTTCTTAATTTCAAAAGTTAATTGACTATTTAAATTTGACTTTAAACAAACTTTAAATTAAAGAATATGAAAAAGAACGATAATGTGACTCTAAACAAGTATTCTTTCGCTTTTTCTCTTGTCGAATTGCCTTAATTAGGCTAAATATTCATTCATTTTCTAATAGTCGCATCGAACAAAAATATTGCATGTAAAGTATTGCCGTAGTAGACATAAACGGGATTGACAATCACTATCATCTCAATAATTTCATTCGACAAGCCTTCGTGTCAAGGTCTTTTAATTTATATGTATAAATAAAATAAAAAAATCCGCAAAGTTAGTACTAATAAAAGTTATATTGAAATTTTGATATTGGGTTTTTGGTGAGAACGCACTTTTCCATGGTAAGGAAGTGTAAACAAACTATTTTTAGCAACCTGTCGATCGAAGAAATTTCATCAAAATCGGTTGAGCCGAACTTGAGATACACGCGTACACACACTATCGGTCTGTGTGTCAGGTCTGTTCTGCAGTTGCATGAAGAGGTTCCCATTAAGATAAATTAGTAGTGTAATAGGCACATTCTTATTAATTCCGCAACTATGATGTTGTATTAGTAAAATTCATAATTTAATTAGTGCAATAGGCACTAATTAAATTATGAATACATAATTTAGTAATCACAATTAGTTCAATAGTAGATTGTATGCAGCAATCAATGTAAACGAAACAAATACTTGGTAATCATGTGAATTACAGTATAAGCAATGTGGGGAACATTTCGTCGGCAATTTCTTCATGCCTCTGTAGCTCAGTTGGTAGAGCGTCCGCCTAGAAAGCGGTAGGTCACTGGTTCGAGTCCAGTTCGAGGAGAAAAATTTTTTTAATGAATTTTTCTGCCTTTAACTCGTTCCTTTGATTACGTCATTCATCTGTTCTGCAGTTGCATGAAGAGGTTTCCATTAAGATAAATTAGTAGTGTAATAGGTACATTCTTATTAATTCCGCAACTATGATGTTGTATTAGTAAAATTCATAATTTAATTAGTGCAATAGGCACAGTCCTATAAATATATATGTTCTTGTTATTGTGTGTTTCAATAGTAGATTGTATGTAGCAATCAATGTAAACGAAACAAATACTTGGTAATCATGTGAATTACAGTATAAGCAATGTGGGGAACATTTCGTCGGCAATTTCTTCATGCCTCTGTAGCTCAGTTGGTAGAGCGTCCGCCTAGAAAGCGGTAGGTCACTGGTTCGAGTCCAGTTCGAGGAGAAAAATTTTTTTAATGAATTTTTCTGCCTTTAACTCGTTCCTTTGATTACGTCATTCATCTGTTCTGCAGTTGCATGAAGAGGTTTCCATTAAGATAAATAAGCATGCCCCACACTCGGGTGGGGGCGCACAATAGATCCTTATACGTGGTCGCGGTGCATTGTTTCCCCCGTTGCACAAATCTACAATCTACAAGGCATATATATAAAGTGTGATTCAATTCGCATGTTTGCCGAAACCATTCTTACAGTTCTGCTTTGATGGTATACACCAAATATGACCAAGTTGGGAAATTTCAACCCTTAATACCGCTTCTAGTTGCAAACAAAATTTACGTAATAAAAGTTTCTTTTCTTCAAAAATCAATAATCATTGTTTTTCTAAAAGTGTTCTTATTTTATAAGTTAAAACCATTCAAATAATAACAATAACCGTTCAAATAATAACAAGAAAATAAAAATATGGCTTTTGTAACGAAAAAGAGGATTCATATCTAAGATTTCAAAATTTTTAACAACTAATAATATTTACTTAAGTTTATCAGTAATTGTCAACAAGACTTTTTGAAGAAAAAATCTTAGATGACTAACCTGGTGGAATCTACAACTACATTAATATTGAGGAAGGTTTCAGACGGGTGTGTTCTATACTGATTTTGGATCTGTTTGGCAAATTCTGCCATTCCCCAAGATAGTAATTTTGGACCATTGCCGTTCATCATCGCTGTTACTGATGTTTCATTTGTTTTAAATTACAGTGAAGTATTAATTTATGCTGACGAAATAAAAATTTTCCAAAAGATCCATTCTGCAAGCGATACGGTTTCTCTCCAAAATGATTTAAAAAACTTTTATTGTAGGTGGTGTACTTGCAATAACTTAAAAATTAATGTGAAAAAGTGCGAACTGATGTGTTATTCTAAACTGAGATAACCGTCAGTTTGTGCACATTTTCATTTGGGCAGATTTGTTTGATTTTTCAAATTTTTCAAATTTGAGAAATCTTCAATTTGCCAGATGTTTTTATAGCTAGAGAAAAGTCTAACAAATCACTTTAGATTTCTTGTTTTGTGTATTATTACTCAAACGGCAATCCAGTATTTTTAAAATCAATAAATAAAAAAACTGATTGTAAATAAATCGACACCTAAGTGAGGCTGAAGCTGGATATCATTGATATTAGTGAATTCAGTTAGATAGCGACTGTCTTCTTGAATTTAAATTAAAGTTGATGTTATTCTAAATTAACTAGCGCTTCTAAATGCAATTTTCTTCCGATAGATAACATTGAAATAGAGAACTGGTTAAAAAAACCAAGTAAACTTTACTTTAAAAACAATAAACCAACCACATAATTTATTTTTTTTTTATTTAGAGCAACAATAGAAAGAAAATCAAAATCAGCAAAAATTTTAATTTTAAAAATAAATTGATTTATGTTTTCTTTGAAAATTTAACTCTAATAAGAGTTATCTAGTTTCCGATAAACATAAACTATAATATTTTAATAAAAATGTGATTGAATTATACGTCAAGTCAATGCACCAGTTCACACATCTGCAATCGCCATGGCAAAAATCAATGAATTGAAGTTTGAACTGCTTTCTCACGCACCCTATTCACCAGATTTAGCCCCCTCAGATTACTTTCTATTTCCAAACTTGAAAAAATGGCTTGGATTTGAAGAAGATTTTTTACAAATGAAGAAGTAGAGTCTGGCGTTGATGGCTATTTTGCAGAGTTTCCCAGTTCTTACTATAAAAATGGTATCGAAGCAATTTAACACCGCTGGCAAAAGTTTTGTTTAAAAACAAATTTGATTTTATGCCAGCTTTTTTTATATTGCCAGATTTTTCAGATTTTTTGGTGGAGTTTCCAGATTTTCTGTGGATCCGGCTATTAAATTCTCCCACCATATAAATAGTTAATTATTTTCTGTCATCTAATGCTTATTAAAATGGTAATATTTATAAGTACATGTATTCCAATTCTTAATTATTTGTAATATTTAATGCGTTTCAAAATTTTAATTGTTATGTATCAAAATTTGTTTTCTAAATTTGCTTTCCATAACATATTATGGTAAAATTTGTAATTAAGTTATAGTAACTAGTTTATTCAAATTGTAATATGTTTGAGCTAAACATTGTTACAAAATAAAATATAATGGTTTCACATTTTGTGCCTTGATTATATATATATATAATGATATTATATATAATGATATTATATTGTATAATGATATTATATAACCTAATGACATAAGAAATTTTTGTTCTACCTTCTCCTGGAATATTTTTTATATGAATATTTTTTATATATGAGATTATCAAGGTTGACCTAAAATTAACCTTTTGAGTGCACACTTATTTTTTAGGGACGTTGAGTACACACATGTACCATTTTTGTCTTTTGTCCTTAAATTTGGAAAAATTTAGCTCAAATTTTTTTATTTTTAAATATCTCTGTGTAATAAAAACACTTCTTTAAATAGAATAATAAGATAAAATAACAGTTTTTTCTTTCGCTCTTGAGAGTTGAAAGTAAACTAATTAGATAATTTACAAACGATCTCATTTTTAAAATATTGCTGGATAAAAGGGGAACATGTGTGCACTCAAAAGGTTAAAATAAAGGTAATTTTAAATAAATTCGGATATTTCAGTTTTCTCCATTATTATTGAATTATATTTAAATATGCTTTTGCTAACTAATTTGCGCTCCCTTTTGAGTTTATCAATTTGTCCCTTGGAATTCACGTCAAAAACAAGTTCTTGGCAATCTATTTCGGACCAATAAATAAGAAAAAACTTCAACACTTTGTGAAAAAACACCTAAAAATTTTAGCTCCATCAAAGACATCTCCGACCAAAGCATAGTTTTCCTTGACTTTAACGTCTGTAATGTTTTATACAAATCCCAAATTTTTCTGAAAGCAATTTTCTTAAATTAACTTAAACTTCTGTGCGAATACAAAAATAATTAAAGAATATTAATTATGAAAAGTACACACATAAGTATACATACATATGTAATAAAAATTTATACAAACTTTTAAATAACTCTTTTTTAGGATTAAAATTAGAAAAGCGAATAGAAGAAGCAGTTCCAGCCGGTCAGCAACTTCAGGAATTAGGTATGAGATTTCGACCAGATGATGCTGGTTCAGATCAGGTGAGTTAAGCTTTTTTAAGTTAAAGTTCTTTTCGTTTTCTTATTCCTTTATTATATGCTAAAATTCTTTTGTATTAAATTTCAGTTTCTTTCTCACATGAAAAATCTTTGTTATTTTTAAGTGTTTTTGTTTTAAACTAATTCTGAAAAAGGTTTTCAGAACTTATACTTAACGAGTACGCATACGAGTATCTATACGTACTTCGTTTTCTCACTACGCCATTCGGTTATCTTATAAATAAACAGATTTTTCTCTAGAAAAATATTATTTAGCCTTAATTCCTAGAGTGCTTGGAAAATATATCAGCGCGCAAATAATTGGTGCGAATTTCATTTGGTTGATTTATTGTTTTCCGAATTTACAAAAACATAATTGACGCATAGATGTCACAAGAAAGAGAATCATTATTTGTATTGATTAGTTTTTTTATTTAGCCAGTTTAAGAAAATATTTGAAATAGGAAATATTAAGAATTTTGCAATATACCATATTTGTTTCTTTAAGCTGCTGAACTATTTTCTGAATTCAACCGAATATACCAACTATTTCCTGAATTCCACAAAAATCTCTAATTTCTCTAACGAAATGACCAAACACGTGCATTTGATTATCACTCTATTTTTTACCGACCGCATTGTTTTTACAATAAGGTAGGTTATGTGATGGCACCAAATTTTAGATGTCGAGTTGTCGGTGGGAATGCACTTCTCCATGGTTCTTTCAGTCTATCTTGTTGTTACCAGAAGTTACTGATGGGCTTTTTGTATAATTTGGACGGCACAAAATGAAACTCTACTTAGAGCCAAAATCACATTTTTCTAGGTGTGTTAACTAAAAGCCTTCTAACGCCCTAAATATTGGAAAGAAGTGTTTAAAGGGCATTTTTATAATCTTCTGTAATGCTAGACAATGTTCTGTAATCTAGACAATGCTACCACATAAGATTTTGTTAAAGATGAATAAGAGTTCAATTTATGTAACAAATTAAATAAAACTGTGTCTATATAAAAACAAAATTGTCCATATAGAAATTTAGACCACATACCTAGGAAAATCTGAAGTTTATAATAATTTTGTTTCTTTAAACTACAAAATAAAAAAAAATTTCGTATATTGGCCTAAATAGTACAATAAATTAAACTTAAATCATTCGATTTAACATACGTGGCTAAATATTTCGAAGTTAAAACCTTAACTCTTTTTTGTGTATAGTTATTAAAATAATTTATTAAATTTAAAATTGAGTTTTAAGAAAACTTTTCAAAATGTTAAATATTAACCTAACTGAAAGGAATTTTTAAATATTTTTTGCCTTTTACTACATGTAATTTATTCTATAAATAATGGGGGACTTAACGTGACACTATTCTTTAAATAGAATGATAAGGAAAAATAACTAACCTTTGTAAGATTTTCATTTACAAGAATAACACAAAAATTTAAAATTTCTTTATTCTTTAAATTTTTCTAAAAAATTTAGGGTGGAATTTTGAAATTTATTAAACTGAATCCAATTAAAGAAGTTAAATGAATATTTAAATAATGTCAAGAAAAATTTAAATAAATTTTGAAACTGATTATTTATCAATGGAAGAAGAAAACCTTCCATCTAAATAAGTATTTTACTTATAATTATTAAATCAAATTATCCTATGTGTTCTAGATAATAGGTTAACAAATAAGGTAAACTATTACCATACAGACGAAGTTAGCAGCCCTTGTTTGTAAAATATTTATATATTCAAATATAATGTACGAAGGTATTCCTCTGGACATATTTTCTCCCCAATAATAGAGCAAAGGAATTTATTTATTTTGTCTTGAACATTTTTTGATTTGTCGTACATTTTTGAAATGTAAAGTTCTAGTTAAAATAGTGAAGAGCTCTTTCGCTTAATTAGCAAACATTTTTTAAGTGTACCTCTTTAAGTAGAAAACTTTTTCCTAAATTTTCGATGTGTAACAGCTGTAATGCAATTATGTTTGCACCACAAGTACTATGACAAATTTACTATGTAAAAATTAGTTTTTCCGTCTTTTCTCATTGTGCGCAAATTAAATATAAATAAATCACACAAAGCTCTAGATTTCTTAACAAACAAGATAAAGTATCACCTATAAATAAATCTTCAGATTATTAAAATTTTCAATATGTTAGTTGTATTTATATTTGAATTTATATTGTAGCATATATGACCTGTTAAAATATTATGTTAACTTTTGCAAATAAATATCGTATATCATTTTTAAACTATTGTAGAAGTTGAATGCGAGTACCGAAAATTAAGTCTTTCACAGCTTTTGTTTCATTTAAACAGGATGATTTGTTCGAAGAAGATCGCCTTATGTTAGATACTTCCCCTCACGAAGAAGATTCTATGAATGACGATGATTTAGAAGAAACTGATACAGATGATGATGAAAATGGTGCGTGTGAGACATCAGACGGCGAACGTGTTATATATCCATGGATGAAAAAAATTCATGTTGCTGGTGTTGGTAAGTAGACAAAAAATATTGATAAATCTCACAACATACATTCATTTTATTCAATCGGAAATTGATTCGATTGTATGATTTATTATTCTGTATAAAAAAAATTTTGATAAGTTTTGTTTTTTTTAATGTTATGGTTACTATGAGCGCAACTTTTTTATATTATAAAATATCGCCACACCTTTAATGCAAATTAAGTTTTTATTCTGTACACAATATGCCCAAGCAGTAGAAACAACATTTTTGCATTCTTCTTTTAATATCAATGACATGGAACTGGAGAAAAGAAAATCAGTAACTAGATTTAAAAAACATTCCTTTTATTGATCTACCTGTCAGTAAATGCGTTAATTTCAAAAAGCACACCTTTATTTTTGCAATAATAATCGATGATTTTGATAATAAATGTCAACTAACCGTTGAATTAATTCAAGGCTACACTTAGAAATGAGATACTTTGCTCGCAATCAGAATTTTTTATGCAAACAAAAAAATTTCAATTGATTGAGTATCTGTATCTTTCTGTTTGAATTTAAATTTTTGGATGTTATCAAATTCTTCAGAAAATTTTTTAATTTTTATTAATAATGGGCATTTTTACTACACGTATATACTGTATGGTAGGAATTCGGTAGTAAATTGTTTTAAAACGAAAATCATTTTTTATTTAGATCTTGACTTATAATTCCAGTACCATATTTATTTCAGTAAATTTCTATAAATGGATAAATGAAAATAATATTTTTTATAATTTATTTGCTTTCTGAATAAATTTTATCAACTTCATTAAATAAATGCTAATTATAGTACTTTTGATTTAAGAGCGATTGTAATCATTGACTTTTGATCTGTAATTGAAACAACTGCACATAATACAATAATATAAATTCACGAAATTCAATAATATAATAATATAAATAATTTCGGAATACTATATTTCGAAGAACTTGAATAAATTTGATTTTAAAACATAATATGTATGTAAGAATATCTTTGATATACGTATACATAATATATATCAACAAGTATTTACCATAATTATTTTGTTAACCTATAGGTCGATACGTATACACTCGCTATCTCTACCGGTTTATTGCGAACTTGTGTACTTTCTATAACAATTGACATTCTGCAAGTTTTTGTGTTACTTTTTTCGCTTTTAAAGAAACGGGGCAACCAAAATTTTTAAAAACAGTTTAACATGAATATGAAAAAGCAATGAGTTAATCTTAACTAAACTAGTTATTACATACAGGCATGCTTGATTAAATATAAATGCGAGGAAAGCTCCATTAAGTGCAAATTGCTTTTGAATTTGTATGACATATTAATGACCAAAATTTAAATTCTATAAGCTTTATATAATTTCTGAAATGACCAAATTGTTTTTGGAGTTGTATGGCAGCTACACAAACCACTGCTTTCTTTGAACCTGTTCCAGTATTTCGAAAATTTCGATATGTCAATTTTTAGCTTTTAATGAAAATTTTGTTATCTTGGCTTAATGGGTTTTTGGATTATCGATGGAACTATGAGCGCAGGACAGACGGACAGATGGACAGAGATGATTAAATTAACTCAGAATTCAAAGCTGATCAATCTTATTAGTGTTACGAACGGAGTAGTAAATTTATGATACCCTCCTAATATTCGTTCGTTTGGTATAACAAGTAGGCATTTATTTACAATTTATCTGCTAAATTTCAAAATTTACGAAATATTTGATACCATTCTTTCATTCTTCAGTACCGCTCTTTCATAGTCATAGTGTTTGATAATCATTTCCCTATTGCATATAAGATAAAATTTTGTATGAATATCTTCAGCTGACTTCGCTTTATGTTCAAACAGCAATATGTTCTCTAATATACTAAGGCTGATATCAAAATATTTGAAAAGATTTTAGTATACGATATATTCTACTTTTTGAATTCATTATAAGGGCTGTTATATTTGAACCCTTTCGATATGATTTATTTCCTTGTAATATCTGTTACACAATTACAAATTTTTTTTTGTCATACCTTAGTAATTGTTTAATCTATGCTAGTAAAATTTTGCAAAAACATACATATATGCGAAAATGGCCATTGTTTTCGTTAAAAATCTTTGAGATGATATGAATTTATATGGTAATTACAATTATATGGTTTATATGATAATGGATTTATATATTATGTTAATACATACTTTTATTATGCTTTTAATAAAAGCATTATACATTTATATAAAAAAGAGTCGTATGATGAAGTGTGGCAATTATCATAGAACTCTGAAAATCAGACATTCGCACAGGTATCACAGAGTTGACATCGTTTTCTCATTGATAATGTTTTAAAAATAATTCAACCAAATTTAAATTTTCATGTTCGTAATATTTTAATTACTTATCAAAATCATTGCAAAATTATGTAACTCCTAATTGAGTTAAAGTTATTTCAATTTTGCTTGAGCATCTTTACTTACTAAAATTAAGAATACGCCCCAAACCATCCACTTAGATAATTAAAACATTCAATGCTAAACTGAATTTGTTCTGATAACAAATTTCAAAATAATATGACATACATCAATTAATAACAATAAATTTTTGCCAAAATATTGAAGAAAAAAATTGATAACCCTTTGAGCTAAAATTTATAAACAAACTTTTCAACGTTATTTTTCATTTGATGGGTCTACAAGGTAAGATACTCGAAATTTACTACATAAACATTATTAAATGAAAAAATTTCAAAAATAATATTTCAAAAATTTTAACTACTATATTATAGAGTAAGGGCTATATTTATGTGAAACTGCTCCAGATAATATTTAAAAAATCATCTTTTATTCTCCCTAATTTACGCTCTCCCAAATTTAAAAATTTAGAAATGGAAAATGATAAAAAGTGTTAGGTTTTTTATAATTTTGTTTCTATTTTTTTTTTCGTTGTTGTTGTTGTATTGCACAAGACCTGGACAAATTAATTTTTCCTTCTTCAAAAGTAAAATCGGAAAAAAATGTTGAAAATAAGAAAAAATTATGAATAGAATGGTAACTTTGTTTGACAGGCATCAAAATGAAAAATGATCGCGCATAGGTATACGTCAGGTTTTATAATATTTTTCCCAGTTGTTCCGTATCTGTAAATACTTTATTATTTTAGTTTTATAGAACTTGTTTAAAGTCACCAGATTCCTAAAAAACAAAAACAATAATAAGAAGAATGGAGAATAAATTTTAAATAAAAATTGTTAAGAGTGTATACAATAAGATATAAGTAATCGGTCATATTGCCGCAAGATTTTACCAAATTGAAACTATATAATATTTTGTTGTTTAAATGCTATTTTCGTGTTAAAATGTGTATTTATTTGTCGGCCCACTTATTTCCTCAAACGATGCAAGTTTTTTTAAGTTGTTTCGAATAATATAAATTTCAAAATTTCCACATGTATAAATTAAGTTAAATGTTTGCATTTTTTTAATATACAAAATATTTAAGAATATCGTTAATTTAGTAGTTTTTCTTATTAATTTACTTGCAATTAACATAAATAAAACTTTTTTATAAATTACTTTTCTACTTGTTCTCACGAACATATCAAGTGTTAAATCGGTGAATTAATCATAATGGGTGTTATAAGTTTTAAAGAAGAGAAAAAAAAAATAAAAGATATTCAATAGTATTTTGTAACAAGATGTTAAGAGTTGGTCCGAACTGAGAATTTTAATTTCATTCTTCACTTAGAAAATTCATAAAAATTTAACAATAATAACTTTTTGTGAAAGAACTTTTTACATCAAGTTTGAACGCAAATCAACATATGCATGTATGTAGTAAAAAACTAAAAATATTTCTAAAAACAATTTTTTTAAAAACCACTGAATATTCAAATCGAAAAATCAAATGCTTAATACACCACCTAACTCAAACAAATAACGCATATACGGATGAAAAAAATATTTATAAGAAAAAAGTTATTTTCAAGGAGAAAATTATTAATGGACTTTTGAAAATGTTGACAGTTTATTTTCTATGAATAATACTTTATCGATTTCAGTCACTCAAAAGAGCTTTTACACAATCTGAGTCTTACTCTCTCTCTCTTTTTTCAGTTCTTTTACCTATTACGTTCGTTAAAATCTACTTAAATGGAAAACATTTTTGGATATAGGCTGAATTTCCCTTCTTGTTTTGGTTTTTCTTATTTGTTTAATATTATTTATTTTTTTTTGTATTCCTTAAACGACATTGTCAGAACATTAATCAGAAAAAATTGTTTCCACTGTCTTTATATTTTTATTATATTATATTCTGTATTTTATTTTATTGTTATAATTTTATATTTTTTTTATTTTTATTACTCGCATAATGTTTTTGTTGTTATTTTATTCTAGCGAATGGATCATTTCAGCCCGGTATGGAACCAAAAAGACAAAGAACTGCCTACACTCGTCACCAAATATTAGAATTGGAAAAAGAATTTCACTACAATCGTTATTTAACTAGAAGAAGAAGAATTGAAATTGCACACACTTTGATATTGTCAGAACGTCAAATTAAAATTTGGTTTCAAAATAGAAGAATGAAATGGAAAAAGGATAATAAATTACCAAATACGAAAAATGTCAAAAAAAAGAATCAAAATTTAGATAGTGCAAAAAGACCAAAAAAAGGTGTCACAACGAAAAAACAGAATCAAGTGACATCGGCGTCAAATGAAGTAAGATTTATTTTTTATTCATTTTTATTTAAATATTAAAGATGTATGTGCACACTTGATAAAAAAAATGAAAAGAAATTGTAGAGAAAATTCAAAATTTAAAAATCGTAAATACTGTTAAAGTAGAAGGAAATTTGAAAACAACTAAAATTTTTCATATATTTTCTCCAAGTTTGTAGCTTGACCCGCTACTCTTGATAAAATTTTTTAAAGAACTATTTATTCTTTTGTACTTCATAAAAATATGCTGATTAATTTTTAATTTATTTGCTTTTAATTAGCTAAATAGTTTATATTATGTCATGGATTTTTTAATATATTTAAAATTTAAGAAATTTATAAAGTCGTCCAAATTAACGTCTCTCCATCATTGCATTCAATTGAATTACTGAATGAATTTTAATCATATTTTCAATATTTGGAAACACTTTCAATTGAATATTTTTTCTTTAATTTATTAACATTTAATTTAAAATTTATTTTTATTTTAACCTGAATTAGACACAAAATTAGCTTAATATAAATTGTGTATATGAATGTTTATTATATTAAAAACAAGAAAATTAATAACAAAAGTGATAAAATTACAAATTATTTAGGAGGTTTACATTTGCTTTAATAATAATTTTCTTCTGTTTACATTTTAGCAACAAACAATTTCGAATGAGAACTAATCAATTAATATAAATTAAAATTTTATTAATGGTATGTTTGCGTGATCACACAATATAAATAATTGCATAATAAAGTTACCGGTCAATACGGTGTTAAGTGTTTTTAACAAATAATTTTATGAATTAAACGAGAATAGATTTTTCATAATAATTCTTTTAACGCCTAAGGGTTAGAAATAAATTTTTTACAAGACGACATTGGTAAAGAACTCATTTAAAAATGTTCTGCTCAAAAATTTTATGTGATTAATGTAGTTTAAAGTAATTTAAAAATTGAGGCCAAACAGGTCTTATGCTATTGGATAGAAACCATTGTTTAAAAATTGCAAATTTATCAAAACCATAAATTAAGAAAAGCAAATAAATAATTGAAACTTGCATAATGATTTATTTTGCAATATTATACTATAATATATAGCATACATGTGCGGAGCATACACGTATGGAGCCATATACCATCGAGTATAAAATGAGTAAAATTTTTTTCCGGAACATATTCTTTCGGAATAAGAATAGAGGGGCTTAAAAAGAGAACAGCATGTTATTTAGTTTTTCATGTTTTAGAATAGAAACATTCGAAAGTACCAGCATTCAAACTGTAGGAAAATTGTTGTACAATTTTTTCTTATTTTTAATTTTTTTTAACAATTTTTAACAATTTCTCTTAAAGTTTTTTAAAACTTCTATTCTAGAGCTTCTCAAGCTTTAATTTATGTCATCAAACGTTAAAATATCTTTTGTTTTAAGATCCTCGCAAAAAATCATTTGAATTCCTCAGACAATTCCTTTTATTATTGCTTTTGATTAATTTTAAGTGTCATAATTATCAACTATATTAATAATTACAGGCCGTATTGTATACAATACAATGAGGTATATTGTATATTGTATACAATGAGGTAGGTACATAACCTACAACAAATTTTGCAACAAATTTTGATGTAGGTTATGTTTTGATAGCAACAAATTTTGGATGCCGAGTTTTCAGTGGGGACGCACTTCTCCATAGTAGGAAAGCGTAAATAACGTAAAGTACTTTTAGGGAGATGTTGGTCTGCCGGTCTGTATGTACACGCACGTACCTCAAGTTCGGCTGAAATGAACTTGATGATATTTTACATGTGAGTTTATTTTGGCTATGGCACGGACATATGGCATGGTCAATTTTTAGGATATATTAGACCTCTAGAACTGGTCCTTTCTGGGGGCCTTTTTTACATTTTTGTGTGTATAAAGAGAAATAATTTTAAAAATTTCCTTGAAAATTACTTTTCAAATTCGGCGTTATTTTAGTAAAAACTTTAAATTTTCAGATATTTACTGAAAAACAGCAAAATTTCAATTAAAAACTCCTATTGTTTTATTTTTTCGAAATTTTTCCTACAAATAAATCCTTTAAAGGATGTTGTAGGCAAAGCAGGTTTAACGCCGATTGCAGGGGTTGTCACACAACCACCACCCACATCTTTGTCAACTGCCTTTTCCCTTAAAGAACCAAGCTTTTAGTCAGCAAGATCCGTATTTCTAAAGCCATTAAACCTACTTTGCTCGGAGCAGCCCTGAAAAAATTTATGTCTATTAACTTGACATAATCACTGTATGAAATCACCAAACGACTTATTACTTTCTAACTCTCTATAATTATTTTATCTTATGAAATATTCCGACGTTAGTATATAGAATAGCTGCACTAACATGCTAGTAATTACGAATATAGTATAGTACAAATCTAATTAAATTTCTTATTATAACAAACAATTAAAAGCTAGTTTAATAGAACTTAATATAATTACAACAGAACTAATATGAGCTAGTTTAATAGAACTTCATGTTTATAAACTCTGTAAGATTTTATAACGATACTTGCTTTTATATTTACTTTTTTGAAAATGTTTTTACAGCTAAATGTTTTTAATGTTTCAGCGTCGAATCGACAGTAAGGACTCTGAAGTTATGCAAGCTATGGAAAATTCAAGTTCATATCTCGCATCAACAGTAGAAAACGATAATAATAAAATTCAACCAAGAGATCCAACGGAACAGCAAATGCACCAAAATCAAAATTTAAATAATTTAAATGATAGAGTAGCACAACAGCAACAACAATCGCAACATTCACACGCACAACAAAGTTCAAATATTGGAATTATGTGTAATCCTGAAATTCATAATCATGATATAATAAAACAAGATTATGATTTAACGTCCCTTTAGAATTTTAATTTGTTTGAAATATATTTTGTGAGAATTTTATACATATATATAATTTAAAAATTAATAATTAATATTTTAATTCAAAAATTCATTTTCATACAATATAAGATAATAAATGAATTTCTTTTTATTATAAATACATTGTTGTGTTAAAAAAGAATTTTTTATAAATAATGATTTTCATAAAATAAAAATTAATTAAAATTAAAAGTTAAATAAGAAAAAAATTGTGAGTTTGAGTGAAAATATTTTTTGCTCAAAATTATTATAAATTATATTTAGATTTCATCACTAGTCAAAATGAATGTCCGCTGTTTAGAATGCTATATTTTATATTAAAAAAATTAAGTCAAAATAGAAATTTATAAATATGAAAGAATCTTATCTTATTTTTCCATTTAAATCTAAAAATAAAATTTACGACTAAACTAAACTTGTAAACATTTCTTTTTCCTTAATTATTTCTTATTTTTAAAAATTATTTGATAAACAAATGCGACAAATTAAAGACTTTAATTATAAAATTTTAGTTTTAATAAAAATTTAAATTACACAATTTTAATAAAGCATAAAAGTTATTATTGTAATATATAATTCCTAGAATTTATGACATAAAATTGAAACAAAGAAATAAAAAAAGTATTATTTATATAAAAAAGGAAATAAAACAAAATAAAACTTTATTATATGAAAATAAATACAAAAAATTTAATAAAATTTGAATAAAAATTAAAATTGAAAAAATCTTTAGTATAAAAAATGAAATTCCTTTACATTTAACATATGGGTTGATGAAAGCGAAAAATATCATTGGTCCCTGTAATAATAAAAAAGTTGATTAAATTAATTATATTAAAATCAAATTTTTCATACTGTGGTGAAACGAACAAGTCCAATACGCAATTATAGAAACAATAACTTTGGTTTTGATACAGACACCGTCAAAATATATTTTTTTTTAACTTTGACAAATAAATCTTTCCATTTGATCCTTTTAGAAGTTCTCAGTTATATTTTGGTCTTTGAAAAAATAGAGTAATCATTTGTACGATGTTGAAACCATATAATATATTTATAGGCCAGCAACCCTTTACATTTTCAATTCGAGAAAAAAAAATCCCAACACCAAATGTAGTTGTAAAATATGATACGTAGTATAGTTTTATTTGAATATTAAAGAAGATTGACCAATAATATGCCAATAAAACGTGCCATTAAAATAAAGCATGTAACCTTATATTAATAACGAACAATTATTTTATAAGATTAAAATTATAAAAGTTCTGTTACATTAAATATTTTCGGCTTAGAAAATTAAATTATAAACTTCTTATTTAATTAAAAATAGAAAACTATAAAAGTCTCGTATCATAAAATCGTACTTTTTATAGGAAAATTTTATTTAATTTAAATTCCACTCATTCCATTTAGAATGCGCATGTATAGAGTTGTAGCTGCCCATATAAACCTTTTCAAGTATAGTGATCAATTTTACTTTAATCAAAATTTTTGAATTTTTTTTAAATTTATTTATATAATATTTATTGTCGCATTTTTCAAAAGTTTTGGTTAAATTTATTTAAAAAAACTTAGACACTATTGATAAGCATTAGCTCTATTATTCAAAAATACAAGAATACAAAGAATAAAATTTAATTACTTTATGTGGGCGATTTTTTGTAAATAAATTAGAAAATTAAGATTTAGGAAAGCCAAATTGAAAATGAGGAAATGTTTTTCAAACATGTGCTTATTTTTACCATTTTTGAAATTGTTACTTAGAAATTATGCTTACATCACTATATCTCTCAATCCTTTAAGCACCGTAAGGCAAATATACTCACAACCAAATATTTTTACTAAATGATTTGAATACCTGAAAAGTGATTTCTTTTATCATGTAAACCATTAACAAATTGTTTAAAATGCACTTGAAAAATTTAATGTAAGAAAAAAATTGAAGGCTTTAATATTATTTTAAAATTGTTTTTTTTTTTTTTTTAAAGAATATCGAAAAGGCGTTAAATTGAAATGAAATTCTTGTACCTACATAAATAAAATGGCATTTTTCCTGTGATAGCAAATAGAATGAAAACAGCAGGATATTAAAAAAAATTGTGTGCGTGCATATTTTATTGTGATAGCTCTGATATTTGTTTCAAATTTGCCTACTTACTTTGAATACCTATATATTGCAAAAATTCTAACCCTTTAAACGATTAATTTAAATTTGCAAATCTTTAAATGAAATTTGTGATTTTAAATAAATTATCCTTTAAAAATATTTTTAAATTTATGAGTCCATAAAACCTGTTATATAAAGAATGTAATTTAAGCCATAACTATAAAATTACAAAAGACAGAAGGCAAGTTGAAAAGTGGGTGTTGTAAACCTTATCTAATTGTCTATTCAATATGTTTTGCATTTAACTATTTTTTTTCACAGTTTGACTAAATGTTTTCATTTTTGTACCTTCTTGAGGAAAACTTATGAAAAATGTACTATTGATGTACCTACTTAAACCGAACGAATTTATATTATACTTTTAAAAACAAATATATATGTATGCCGTACTTAATGTATAAATATATGTGAAAAATGCCTGCTAAAGAATTAAATTTTATTTCCTGTTCATTAAATACTCAAAATCGAATAATAAGATAGAGTAAGTCGTGAAAAAATACAAGAATAATTATTATAACACTAATTTTGTTTTAATTTGTCCTAACTCGAACATTCTCATTAAGTTTGCAATGCTTCTATACTATATGATCTATTCATTTGAAATATGTTAATTTATATTTAAAAAAAAAGAAAAATTATTTGAAATGATGTTATATCTAAAGAGAAAAGCAATAGTTTAAAACATTTTTACATAAAATTCCAATCTGATATAAATAATTTTCATAAGTTACGCATTTTTAAGATCAAACATCGTTCCTACACAACCACCACTTTCTTTTAAAGTTTTAACAATAAAATTTTCATATAGCGATTTTTGACAAAACATTGCATTAGAAAAATTTTGTTAAGAATTTTAAAGCATTGTCAACACTATAATTGAAACAATGCAGAAAAAAATTGTAGCGAAGAATATTGTGAATTTCAAGCGATATCTTGACGATCAGTCAATTCATGAAAATATTTTATAGTTTATAGAATGATGTCACTAAAGAATGTGTTCAAAAACAATAATCAGTATCTTATCAATTCACTTATGTGTTTAGCATAAAGCTACCGATTAGATAAACTTAAAATTCCTTGCTGTTTTATTTCTAGAAGCGTAAATAGTTAGAAACTTACAAAACATAAAGTCATGGCAGACAAACAAAATCTGACCAAAACAAAATTGCTGACCAATTTTTATATTTCCCAATTTTTTTGCTAAATATATTTCAATTTTAGTTTACATTTTCAAATATAATTCAAATGTATTCAAAAAAATGTTTAAAAAATCTACTTATAACCTATTTTTTTTCGTCTCATTTTCTTTCATATCCCCTGCAGTTTCAGTTGCTTTAACTGAAAGCAATTTTGTTTTTGCTTCTCATACACAATGATCTCGAATACCATTTCATAAGACATTGTATGTGATGTATTTATATTTGTTTGCAATTGTAAAGGTTCCGATGGCCATATCCTTCAAAATAGGGAATAGGGGATAATTTGCTCTTGATGAATAATCAATTTTTCATTTAAAAAATACGTAGTTAAAGTATGTATACGTTCAAATAAAGGAAAGCATATAAATGTATATATGTATATATATTTTATAAAATTAAGTATATAGGTACATGCAACTGCAATTTTTAATAAAAATTTAGTTCCAATTTTAGAATCAAATACATAAGGCATGTTTTGTAATATACCATTTTAAGCGAGGTTTAATAAAAAGTTGGTTTTTTTGGCACAATGACTTCTGCAAATTTAATAATACCTTTTTCTAAAAATTATTTTTCTTTTCGCAAAGAATTCTTCAAGCTGTGAATCTTCATTTAAAGTAACCCTTCGTGTTGACTAAAGTAAATAGAATAAAAACTCATAACTAATAAAAGAAGACGTACAAGAAACTCGAAGAACTCATAGTTTAATTACAGATAAAAAAATTGATTTAATGGTAATTAGAGATATTGATAAATGCGAATTTTAAATATTTAATAATTTGAAAAACTACTTATTGAGGACAATTAAGCGATGTAAATTGATATATTATATATCACAGCTAATAAATATCTAAATATCAAAATAAATTGCTTCTTAATTCCTTATACTATTCTATGAAAACACCCACTTAAGTAAGCTTATTTAATAAGAATATTCTATATAGCTTTAATATAATTTATAGCAAAATTTTTATATTAAAACGTTCACAACTTTAAATCATATTTAACAATTATTGACGAATTCTGAGCTATTGAAATAACGCTTGTGTACACAATAATTTTGCGCTAGTTACGCTCCTACATTATATTTAACAAATTTTTAGAACTACATATTTACCAAAATTTACCAGTTTTCGGATAACTAATAGTATAGGTGTGTACCCTATAAATTACGCACATTACTTTCAAAGGTATATAATACACTCTACACTGTTTAAAATGCACTGTTTTGGAAATTCCGTTACACCAGAATAAAACTTAAATTGGAAAGTATTTAAAATTTATTTTCTACATAAAATTTGATTATACATTTTCCATCAATTGAAATAAATGATATACGGTTGAAATATTATGCGTTGACATTTTTATATCATATTGTTATACTTAATAAAAACGCAATAATTTATGTCGTCTCATACACGGTATTAGCACCATAAACATTAGACCCTCTAGTTTTATTATAATAAATACAGCTACACCAGCCTATGCCCTGTTGCTAAGCATTTATTCCTCAATGTTTGTATTCTATTGTTTATTCTGCTGTATTTATATTCTAATCTGATGAACATATATTTAAGTCCATTACACATTTGTACATATGTATATATAAAAAGTAC